TAGATTTTATATAAGTGACACTGTATGCATGAACGAGAAAGACTTCTTGAATCTATAAAAAATGGGATCAAAAGACTCCTTTATATTGAGAATTTATTTTCAATACTTATCGGAAAATCTTAAAATTTGTTCAATATATTTCCACAAAGGATTTGAACCTGATTTTCTAATCTCTTTATTATAGACCTTAGATATTAAAACTATAAATTCTTGTAGACCAAATATCTAAACTTGAAATATCAAAGGATATACCATTATGCATTAGGTTGCAAAGATATAGGGTATATAAAATCAGAGTTTGTGTAAAAGACGGAATTCATTATGTATTTCAAATCTGTGAATTTAGAGCTCACACGGTTCGATTCCTCCTCGAACGTTCAATGTAAACGTTGGATAAGAAATTGAGTCTTTGGAACAATATCAAATATTTTAACCACAATATCTTTAGAACTCGATTGTAAACCTTTGATATTTCATATATATATATATCTAAGGTATGCAACATTTGGTTCCAAAGATATAGTGATTAGAAAATCAGAGTTTGTGGCAAAGACTCAATTCCCTTTATCGTTTAAGCCCAGATTGGATATTGGCAGCTGATTTAAACTTGATCGCTAAACCCCAGATTAGATATTGGCAGCTGATTTAAACTTGATCGTTTAAGCCCGGATTGGATATCATGGCAGCTGATTTAAACTTGATCGTTTAAGCCCGGATTGGATATCATGGCAGCTGATTTAAACTTGATCGTTTAAGCCTGGATTGGATATCATGGCAGCTGATTTAAACTTGATCGTTTAAGCCCGGATTGGATATCATGGCAGCTGATTTAAACTTGATCGTTTAAGCCCGGATTGGATATCATGGCAGCTGATATAAAATCAATCGTTAGAGCCCGGATTGGATATTGGCAGCTGAGTTAAAGTGACGTTAACCAATTTTTGAGTGATCCAATATCCAAAAATAGAATTCCTCGTAACACAACGATGCCCTGAAGCTGAGAGCCATCCTATACAAAAGTGTCTGCCTCTAATATTCCTTATTTTTGTATGAAATGAATTCATGAATTATTGTCGAATGAAAATTCTGTTTTTAAAATTCTTTTATTCTTTTTATGGTCGTTTTCTCATATAACCCTGGTAAAATATGAGACACATTAGATGAAGAATTAATTTTATTTCTTAAAGGAAATATAAACGTAATTATTTTCAGTTGTGATTTCTCTACAGAAGTGTTTTACGCATATCTATACTACAAAAAAAACAAATAGGATTCATCCCAAGTAAACCTTTGCAAACTTAGAAAATTGACAATATTTTGATTATCTGATTATTGATCAAATAAAGGCTTCTGCAGAGGTACCGTTGTAAAACAGGTTTTGAAATTTTGCATTGAATAAGGGCAACTTGAAATTACGCTAACAAACCTCATAAATATGCTTTTAATTTCCTTTTAAATGAATTGAGTTTTTGCCACATATTCAAAGGAATTGAGTTTTTGCCACAAACTCTAATTTTCTAATAATTTTCTTTAATAGTTCAAACTATGAATGCTATTAGATCAAATAATGTAAGTTTGAAATATCAAAGGTTTACATCAAAAGGCTACAGAGATATATAGGTTTTACAAAAAATGAATTTGTGGCAAAGACTCAATTCCTTAGCAACATAAAAACGCAAGCCTTTGATATTTCAAACTTAAAATATTCTAACTAACAGAACTTATAATTTGAAATATATAAGGTCTACGACGTTGAATTTCAAGGTATAAAGATTAGAAATTCAGAGTTTGTGGCAAAGACTCAATTTCTTTTTGATTTTTTTTCTTTAAAAACGTGTGCGAGCTCTGCTGTGACACTACTCTATATTCCAGAACAATACTTCATAGTAACTTTGTAGAGAAATTTAAATATCTCCAATTCCTATATTTTTTAACTTTAAAACTTTCTCTATATCTGTTTTTTTGTCTGTTTCTTTGAGCCGTAAAAATTAATATAACAGTAAAATTCCAACGTGTCCTTTTAAAGAACGGAATTGAATTTTTGCAGCAAACTTGAATTTTATAATACAAAAATCTTTGCAACCTGATCAGAGTTTGTGGCAAAAATTCAGTTCCTTCCAAACATTTTTTAAGTTTAAAAAATACTACGATTTCTCCCATATTGTTGTTTAAATTATGAAACATCATAAGTTTTTTAAATTTCGTCGAAAGTCCCTTTAAACGTAATTTCAAGTGATCCTCAATTGATAGAGTAGCATGTCCCATTAACAGCGGCACACTAAAACATTTGCTTCAGAAATATTCGAGAAATCATGGTTAAAGCTAGATAAACAACATTATCTTTAACATGTTTAATCAGATAATGTGAATCGGACATATCTCTAGTTTTGAATGGTCACCTAAAGTAATGACAACAGTTTCTTTAAGTCCTGTTCGAGCAACATATTGGCAATATTGTGTCAGGTCCATTATCTGTAAATTGATCAATACAGATCATTTAATATAATCTTTACTCATCTTTCTATAAAACTTTGCTTGTCTGTTTGTCAGATTGTATACAATAAACGTCAAAACGGCTGGACCGATTGTGCCAAATTTTGGTGTGGGACCTTACATGACTCAAGAAAGGTTTATGATTGCTTAAAATTACAAATATTTGTCTCCAAAAAAATGTTACGTAAAATTTGAAAATCCACGAAAAAATGGAAATTCGCCATTTTTTTTTCGAGAAGAAAGATTGAAGAACTTAAAAAGTTGAAAACAAGATGGGCGCGAAGTGCCATGATAGTTTAGTTATATGATATACTGCAATTGTCATTTATTCAATTCCCTCAAAGTGTAACAACTGTTTTTTTGACAAATGCATATTTATGTACTACTTTAATCTTAAATCCTAAAAATAATTGAGTGCTACTCTGTGTCTGTTAATCTATCTCTAAAATGTTTAACAACAAATAGTAAAAGGTTATTATCTTTTAACAATAACCTCAAATTTGCTTCAACCTCGTAAATCTATCCTCTTTAAGATATGAGCATAGATAAATAAAATACAGATAGATTACTAGATGTCGTCTTTTCAAGATTTAGATGTTTTTCGTTCAAAATAACCCTGAGGGAGAAGCCCAAAGAAGTTACGCGCATGCTCTCTCTCTCTCTGTGAAGTCATACAATGATGTCTGCGCGTAACTTCTTTGGACTTCTGACTAAGGGTTATTGTGAACGAAAAACCCTAAAATGTTGAAAAGACGACATTTATTGTTCTATCTGTAATGTTACTAATTTATGATAAGATATGAGATAATCATAAATTATTCTAAAATATATTGTTATATTCGCTAAATATGTATTTCTTTTTCAATCCAACATATTTTAAAGTAGAAGACAAAAATAAGATTAATAAAAAGTCCTTGCATAAAAAAGGATCCCTTTGATTGTCTTTTGTTTGTTACAGCACTATTACAAAACAATATAGCCGTACCTAATTCTCATATTCAAAGCAATACATTTTAAGCTGAAGCAATGAAGTTCCTATAAAGGGACTCTACTCGTAATTTAAAAAGTTTCGCCATTTATAGATTGAAATGTGGGATTCACAACGGTTCCCTTTAATTCTTTGTCTGATCAGGAGTGCTTGAAATATGAATCATCTTATGTTTGAAAAATAAAATAAAAATTCCTTATAGTTTCCATATGAAGGTGACTCTTTCCCATTGCCGGAATAATTAAAATCAAAAACATGTGAGAATTAAATAATATTCAAGCTAAAAAACCGAAGATATCTTCGCCATTTTTGATCAGATAAAGGTTTAAAGTACTCACCATTGTGAATTTATTGAAAGTTCACTTGGAATTTTGACAACAGTTCCTTTAGACATTATTATTCAATGAAAATTTTTAATCTCCTGGCTTAACTAAATCGCTTCCAAGATACAGAATTTATGCCTTGTCAAGAGATTAAAAATTCAAAAATTTAGACTTTAGTTTGAACTTTAATATTGAAATTTGAAATTTAAAATAATTCTCTTGCCTTACTAAATTACCGTAGAATTTGTAAAATTATGGATAAAAGGGTTGAGATGATGAAAATATGATCAAAAGGCAAAATATATTGCAAAAGAATTGCAAAATATTACGGTACATACAAAAAGTCTCCTAAACAAAATCCTTTGGCCACAGTTCCTTCTTCCCTCCTTCCTCCTACCCTCGTGTAGTCCAATGTACCTCTTCTTTGAGAAGACTTGTCCTCAAGCTGGCATATTTTTCCGGAAAAAAAAGACACTAACTGCATTTTAAGAAATTGCAAATATATATATTAATCAGATTTACATTTTATTGATAAATCTTTAGAAATATATGAATTCATGAAGGTGTATAGCAGGGTTAAAATAAAAACCGGAAATTTAATACTTGAATGAGTTGGATTCAATCCTTTACAAAATATCAAATCATATTGAATTAAATGATACATTTTCCTGCTATTACAGTGAGAACCAGAAAACTATTGAATAGGAAGACGACTTTTATCAACATCAATACACTTAAGTATTGCTTTAACGTCGTCTTCCTGTTCCACAGTTTTCTGATTCTACTGCCTTAACAATTAATACGCACACCTGGTTTATCAATTTATGAAGCAAATTCAAACTGGACGTTTTGGCTAAAATAAACTTTTCACATTCAAGAAATAAACTTAGCGCTTTTTTCAGAAATAAACTAAGGGTTTTTTTCCCCAAATAAACTAGTGTTATTTTATAAATTAACTGAGCGTTTTTCAGAAATAAACTGATCGCATATATCAGAAATGAACTGAGCGTTTTTTCGGAAACAAATCTAATACTTTTTCGGAAACAAATCTAATACTTTTTCGGAAACAATCAAATACTTTTTCGGAAACAAATCTAATACTTTTTCGGAAACAAATCTAATACTTTTTCGGAAAAATCATGAGCGTTATCATTATTTAAAAAGTAGCATTTTTCAGAAATAAAAAATCTCATTTCAGAATTCAGCTGAGTGTTATATCTGGAAATGAACAGAGAGATTGTATCAAGACCAAAACTGAAAACACAGGTAACAATTTTATTAATTAATAATAACAGATAAAACATTAGATGTTCTCTTTCTAGATTTAGCATTTTTTCGTTCAATATGAACCCTGAAGCAGTAGCCCAAAAACGAAAAACCCTTAAATATTGAACTGACTACATTTAGAGTTCTATCTGTATTATTATTAATCTAATGGTAAAGGTTTTTAACTCAGTGGAAAGAGGGGGAAACTGTTGAATGAACAGTGGCCGAATTTAAAGAGTTTGAGCGGCGGTTTAAATTTAAGCCGCGGCTGAAATATGGTTGGTTCCACTTAAAATTGTATCAAATGTTTCAAGATTTAAGCCGGCGCTTAATTTAAACCGGGTTTTGGCAGATTCACACCGCGGCTCAAATTCTTTAAATTCCATTTCAGATTAGTTAAACCTTTTTTCACGAGTAATCTCATGATTTAACATTATCACCTTGAGTCAGAGTCAGAGTCAATTTTAGTTAAGCCCTTTTTTGCCCTATAGCTCTCTCATTTTTGACGCTATCAACTTGAATTTTTTTAAATTTTATGGAATATTTTTTTTGTACATTTTTTATGCATAGGGTAGGTTACAGGGCGGTAACAAGTCCGGTCCGTGTGATATAAAGCTACAGATCTAAAAACTACTCTTTTGAAAATCTCTTTAAAAATAGACAAAAAAACGTGTGTCACATCTGAATATCTGTCAAAACAAATTGTATTTAACATATTTTTTAACTATTTTTTGCATTCTTTCAAGCCCTCTCAGTACCCAAACAGTCAAAAAAAATTTAATGAGCTGGCTTTAAAAAATTGAGCCATTAACATGCATTGACACACTTTACCTTTTCTCTAAAGCCTTTTCTGGGAAGGGGGGGGGAGGTGCGGCCCTTAAACATAGATTATCAGTTCGGACTCCAAATTATTCATTTGTGGTTGAAATAATTCTCTTCTTGAAATATTTCTTAAATTTTACCTTGTTTTTATCCTCTATTCATATAATTAAATAATTATTAAATATCAAACTTTATATACAATTTATTCAGACTCGACTGGTTTGGAATGATCATTGTTAAACCGGATTTATGTTCCTCAGACCAAGAGAAGTTTTAGGATAGTCAAACACGAAATAAGCGTTTTTTTGGGGCTAGACATAGTCTAGTTCTACAGATTGGAGCGGTTTTTATGACGTAAAAAGAGTTCACGTCCAGAAGCGAACATTTTTACCTAATAAAAACAGCTCACTTCATAAGGTTAGCAGTTTTTAATGAAAGAAAGTGTTTGAGAGAAACCTAACTGTTATAACGATTACCAATGCCAAGATCCATAGTGATGTTTCTGAAATGACAATAATAATTCGCATTTTATACAGTGAAACCCTAAATAAACCATACATCGAAAGAATTCATCAAATGTCGTATTTTTCACTTACTGATAATGAAATGTTGCAGATATTTAGTTTTTTTTGATGAAATGATTATATGGAACTCTTTAAAACTCTTCCCGCATATTCATGGCTATTTCTTTATTTTCGCAAATACTGAGATTTAGGTAAAATAGTATAAAACCCATAGACAAATTGTCAAGACGACATTTGATGAATTCTTTCGATGTATGGCTCCTTTAGGGTTTAACTTTAGGAAAAAATTGAATTTTGAAAAAAACTGTAATTTTAAACATGAAATTATTATTTCTTAGCCTATAATACCCCCGGCCCATAATTTTCCTAAAAACAATGTCAGCCAATTCGGTCCGGCCGTTTGGCCAGCTATAGCTAAAATATAAACCTACAAATATTAATATGAGCAAATAGCTTTATATTTGTGTGATATATTTAGGTAACATTTGGTGAGGTTTCTGATAATATGGGAGAACCAGAGAGGACGTTTGAGAGGACAGTGAGCAGAGACTCAGGAGGTTAATTTCATTTTTATCTTAACAATCCATTGTTAACGTAATTTCATAAGACCCTACTGAAAGGGTGCATTGTCCGATTCACAAAGGTACTATTGAAAAGATTGTCTGATCAAGTATGAATTATGAATACATGATGTTTTTGAAAACTGAATATTTTCATTTGCGGAATCCTACAAAAGTTACTTTTCTTGTTTCGGAAACTAAAGAGAAATTTTCCAAATGAAAAAAATGACATTATCCTCCACAGTGCTGATCAGATTAAGGTTTCAAAGGTACTGGGGGGAATCGGCCGTGCCTTTTTTTAATGAAAGCCACCACGACGACATCTAATTCAGGGTTAGCCACAAAATATGAGACTTCAGAGACGACTCTAAGGAACTTACTTATTATTCTTCATTATGGGATCTTTGAAAATGTAATATTAATTCTGTTATCCCAAAGCATTTATTACATTATTTTAAAAACTATACAAAACTCCAGATCATCATGTAATTATAGAATATTTGATCATCATGAAAGTCTTACATTTGGTGGGGGTAACCCTAGAGATAATCGTAATCCTAATTAACATCATTTGTAAAATATCGTGCATCAATATTTTAACTTTATTAAAACATGCTCATTTTTTAAGTTTTTCCTTTAACCAATGAAAAATGTCAATTTGGTAGTTTTTTAATATTTCAAAAACTGCCAATGGTCACTACTAATATATATATATATATATATATATATATATATATATATCTCAGATTAAGATTTCCTAAAAAATAAACGGTGTTTGAAATATGAATTGTTGTTATAAAAGGCAACAGTTACAGGCTTGCCTTTATTAACACAAGTTGTTGTTAGGTTTAATAATATTTAGTCACTTTAAAGTGTAAAAATCATAGAATTGTGTAAATTTCATACAAAAAGATTGGCAATCTATTTTTGCAAAATTTCTTCAGTTTTATTAGCAATTTCCATGCAAGGTTTGAAATATAAACAGTTTTTTAAATATCATTTAAAATTTAATCAAAGATAAAAAAGATTTGAAGGAAAATTACTCATATTCACGCTTTGTCAAATAGCAAAATTGTAAGGAAAATAGAGGTTTTTGACTCGGTAGCAATACAAAGTTTTTGACTTTATTTCTTGCACTGATATTTTCCTGTCATGTACAGTTTGGTTCAATACAATTGATTTGAGTTGATTGTGATGAGCTTACTTTATCTCCAATCAGTTCTTTTCTAATTTTGGACCTTTTAATCTAACATTTTAGTCTTTTTCTCATTAAAAAAGATAATTTAATAAAAATTTTCAATCAATTTTCTAGATGTAGGAGGAAGGTATGAATTGAATGGAAAAGAAGGCAATGATGGAAAACGCCGAGGAGAACGTGATAAACGACGAAGGTTAGGTGTTTCATTTTTCTCTTGAACTAAACTGAGGATATTTCCATGCAAATAAAATTTAGAAAGATTTAATGAATAGAAACAATAAGTTGAACCACGTACCACCGGGTCAAGATAAAAGTAGTGGTTCATTTTAACTATGTAGTTCAACTACGTCTCCTATGAATTAAATCTGGCCCCACTGGATAAAATATGCAACAACTATTGAAGAGATGGACATGTTTTAGCTCTGGTTAATGTAGAGTTATATTGTCAATAAACCTGGACATGGCTAGAGATGGACATTTGACATTTTACGATCCATTTCATTTGTGCGTTCATTAAAAAAATACGTTTTACTAAAGTTTATGAAAAAATGTAAAAAATGTAATAAATTCATGAAATGCGGATCAAGCGTTAAAAATTTAAATTGTTTTTTTTTTGTTTGTTTTCTAATTTCCCTGAATGTTACAATTTTTCTGAACGAAACATTTCTCCCTAAAAAATGTTCATTTGTTCCCAAACACGATTCCCATCTCTAGACACGGTTTATTTAGAGAACAATTCCCATCTCTAGACAGAGTTTATGTAGAGAACGATTCCATCTCTAGACAGGGTTTATGTAGAGAACAATTCCCATCTCTAGACAGAGTTTATGTAGAGAACGATTCCATCTCTAGACAGGGTTTATGTAGAGAACAATTCCCATCTCTAGACAGGGTTTATGTTTGTCAGCACTATAAACCAATCTCCTCTAATAAATGACTGTGTATAAAACAATAAAACAAGTAAAGTTTGCAACAAAAAGCAGATTGCACACTAAACTCGGTTTAATATGAAGTAACTATGAGATTGAAAAGATAAAATTTATCACGAAATTAATAGTTTTTACTTTTGGCAATAAAAAGTAAATCATACATAACAAATTTGTACAAGATTCTGGCCTAATTATTATAAATATCCTGCATGTAACAGCTTTGTCTGATCAAGGATGAATTATATATCAACATTTATAACTTTGAAAGCTGCTTAGTTTCCATTGGGGGCTCTCAACACAAATGACTTGCGCATTTCTACTGCAGGACGACATATCAGAATTATCTGAATTAAATACTTTTAAATCTAGAAAAACAACAATATCTTCTTGAACAGATAAATATTTCAAGGGTACTGTTGTGAATCCGGTATTTCCAATATTGCACAGAAGGTCACTTAAAATTATGTTACCAGTCCCTTTATTTCAGGGAACTGGAACATCAAACTAGCCGAGCTAATGGAGACAGGGACAGATACAAAGATGATGATCGGGATCGAAGATCAAAAGATGATGATCGGGATCGAAGATCAAAAGATGATGATCGGAAAGATGATGATCGGGATCGAAGATCAAAAGATGATGATCGGGATCGAAGATCAAAAGATGATGATCGAGATCGAAGATCAAAAGATGATGATCGAGATCGAAGATCAAAAGATGATGATCGAGACCGAAGATACAAAGACGAAGACAGAGAAAGACGATACAAAGATGAAGACAGAGAGCGTAGACACAAAGACGATGAAAGGGACCGAAGACCAAAGGACGAGGATAAAGACCGAAGATACAAAGATGAGGATAGAGAACGCAGATCAAAGGATAGTGATAGAGATCGAAGATCAAAAGATGAGGACAGAGACCGCAGTACAAAATATAAGGGGGAGGATAAAGAGCGTAGATCAAAAGACAGCGACTTAAAGGATGACCAAGACAAAGAAAAAAGATCAAGCAGAAGCAGAGATGAGTCTGATTACAGGTATAATTAGTTCAATCACTGATTTTAAAACCTCACAAAATTGCAGTGAGAGGTTTTGTGAATATAGAAACTATTTCCCCTTTTAAAGACAATACACTTTTCTCAAGCGCCCTGTACAGCTTTTCCTAAATCCCTGACAGGAATCCAAGAAAGGAAATGAGTCTTTGTCAGAGACACAAATTAGAATTTGTGCGAAAGACTCAATTCCTTTGTCAGAAATTTCAAAAATTGTTTGCTCAGTAAAAAACAATCTTTAGATTTAGAAATTGTCTAAAAAATGCGAATGTTCGGTAATAATTTTAATTTTTCTGAACGATGAAATTTATTGTTCATTGTTTGTTATTTTTCCTGAAAAAGATAATTATTCAAGAAAAACTTTGTTCGTTTCGAAAAATGTTCAATCACGAAAACGATGTCATCTCTATATTTTAGGTCATCAAAACGACATGTAGACGATAGACAGAGTTCCAAATATGAATCAGATTCCAGAAGAGAGGACAGAAGGGAGTACAGGGAGTACAGAGAACAAAAGGACTCCAGAGAGAATAGGGATTCCAGGTAATATAATTGGCTAATAGTTAAGCCTAACTTTTCAGATTTTCAGAAAAAAAGTAAAAAAAACTTTAACTTATACTGTAGCACGATCCAATATGACGGGGACACCCTGTATAACCAAATTCAGCAATTCTTAAGTAACCAAGACGACTTTTAAGCAGCTGGAGCAAGCTGTACGGTACACTGGTTTTCCACCGGCGAAAACCGAACTCCCTCACAAGTTTATATAATTTTATAATCAATTTATAAGGGACAGTAAGCGTAAATTCAAGTGACCTATCTTTCAAAGATGTCAAGGCCCGCGTTACAACGGTGCTTTTAAAAGCTTTGTCTGATCAAGTATGAATTAAAAATTAACTATTTATTTTTATTTGGGATTTCTCTGCGAAAGTGATATACACATTTCAAGCTTTTTCAGAGGCAATGGAGATATTATCAGTGTCAGAAAAATCAAGGAATTTTCTAAATTTTTTATCAGCTTAAGGTTTAACGGATATCAATGTAAATCGCTGTAACGCTGTTAACTTCCTAGTGGGAATATTGATTTATTTTTAAGGAAGTTCAGCGCATGATACAAAACACGATATATTTCCTTGTATTTGATAACACCATAGCAGAAGCTCTTATATTTTAGTATCTGATAACTAAACAGATAATATAGCAGAGCGGAAACAGGATAATATATCAGAGAGGAAACAGGATAATATATCAGAGAGGAATCAGGATAATATATCAGAGAGGAAACAGGATAATATATCAGAGAGGAAACAGAAAATATAGCAGAGAAGAAACAGGATAATATTTATCAAAATATCAAAAAATGAAAAATTCTATTCACTCGACCACTAAAAACTATATGTTCAGTCAGTGTACTGAAAATTACTGCAGAACACATAGTAAGCTATGTTTAGCGTGTATTATCAGGTTTATGATTACACTAAAGATAGAGAGGAGAAGGACGCCGGGGCTTTCAGGAAACACGGGGAAATGGTCATAAGTTAAAGTTAGGCAAGCTATTGCACATTAAAGCGACTAAAAGCATAATTTTAACCAATAAACTCCATGTAGTTTCATTAGAAGAATTTCCATTTACTGATAGCGCCGATTGAAGAATTCATATCTCTAATTGGATAATGAGACAGATAGAAAGATAGATGTTACTGCCATACTGTTTCTATTGGTTCAGAGTAGAAAACAAACACATGACATGGCAACGCTCTAGACTCCATCAGCTGATCATAATATGGAAGATATTGTCGTTTTTCTAGATTTAAAAGTATTTTTTCAAATAATTCCGATGTTGAAATGCGCAAGTCACTTTTGTAGAGGCACCACAATTAAAAATAATCAGTTTTCAAATTATAAACATTAATATCAAATTCATACTTGATCAGACAAATCTATTAAAGCATTATCATCTTTACATGAAGTGTCGCTGGAAATTTTGCTAACAGTCCCTTTATTGCCACTATAATAGGAGATGGTTAAGTTTAATTGATGTGGCATAATAACTGGCAGTCGTAGTACATTTTAATTTCCAAGCCGGGTCAACCTTTCTGGTCCCAGTTTGTACTGTATCGCCCAGACATTGGCTAAAAACAGCAGACACTCAATAGGACTAGCCCGTGCAACAAGGTTGACGCGGTCAGACTTTAAATTGAATTTTAATTTAATAAAGGGTCAGAGGTGCGTGTGATAATTATTATTTTTTAGGAGTATAACGCAGCCACCATGGCTTACATTTTGGGACGTCAAGTAACAAGCAAAAACCATGAGGGGGGGGATTAACTTTTATACTATGACCCACCCTAATGGACAATGTATCTGAATCTCATTTAATCTTAATAAATATTTTGCACATGTTTTCCACCACATTTATTCTAAACCAGAAAATGACAAATAGCATATTTTGCCAGATCATAATTTTAGATTTTCTGGCATAACAAAATATGTTTATGAGAAAATGAGATAGAACCTGGATGTCAAAGTATAATCAAACTTTTTCTTTTGAAAGGGGGTGGGAGGAGGAGGGATTTGACATATACAATTTAAAAAGTTAAAAAGACAGGAAAAGTGTCTGATAAAGTAAAGGAAATAAGTTTGTGCCACAAACTCTAATTTTCTAATCCTCATTTTTGTCCAATGTTGCAGACCTTGCAAATAATCTACGCTTGAAATTTTAAAGGTTTACACCATTAGGTTATAAAGATAAAGGGACAAGAAAAAGTTGAGTTTTTTTTGGCAAAAACTCAATTCCCTTAGGGTCAGAAATTTTCATCAAAACGACTTATGTATATGAGTATCAGTCACAGTACACAACAATTTTCAAATCAACATGGTAATGATTAATACTAACCATTTGTTTCATTTATACACTTCATATAAATCTATTTATTTCCCAAAATGTTTCTGAATTGAGATTAGACTTTAAAAAAGCCTTTGATTAATTCATCAGTTTAAAGTTTCGGATTTTATTCTGTTACTGCAAAATTTTGCTTTGCTCTAGGTGATCATTTTTTAACAATTTGAGAGTATTTACAATCAATATTTTTATATATTTATTTTAGAACTTCTGATCCTGAAAAGAGAAGAGCAATAAAGGAAAAAACAGATTTATTAAAATTCTTTATTTTTAATAACATTCTAAACTCCATTGCTTGATTTTTTAACTTCTTTTTATTGCAACCTAATTAAATTGAACTAACATTTGTATCGAAATATTACCGAAAAAAATAAAAATGATTTCGATAAAAATAAAAATAAAATCTAATATTGTTTATTTTTAATTGCATGGATCTATAGAGAGAAAAATACCAAAAACTGGAGTGAATTATTATTATTTACAACTACTTTACAGGGAAGTTAAAGGAATTTGTAGACAAATTGGTCGAGGGAATCTGTGGTTAAATAAAATTTTGAAATTACTCGAAAAACTATAGTTATATACAATGTTATCATCTTTTGAGATGAAAATGGATGAATTTTTTCCCGAAAACTTTGCAGAACGCGACAGGTGGTTATTTTACATAACAGTCCCAAAAGGACGTTAAGTAACCTAATCTCCCTGTGTTGGGGGAATAATAGGCCGATAATGTTGGTCTAAAGGCGGTTAAGTTATTTAGATTTCAAAGAATTTTATTTTTGTTACCCGAACCCGCCTGGTTGGGCTCGTTTGAGAAATGTAATAAAGAAAAGTTTCACGAGGAAGAAAAACAAAAGAACTATTTTACCCTGTTGAATTTGGGAAAACAAAACATTTGAAACATTTGATTAAATTGGAACCAAAATACATGGTTTTCAACAAAAATAAATATGACACAGCTACTTTCTGTAACTTCAAAGCTTATTCATAAACTATTAAAACAAAGATCGATACTTTTTTATGGATATTGTTAATTTTACGCGCTTGATCTTGATATCCAATGTTGGCACTTTTGATTTGAAGATCATTACTTGATCACATCATTTCAGTTATTCCTTGAAGGTACGATTATCATGGGATATGGAAGAGGAATTAAGTTAATCCATAGACTTCAAAATATAGAGATTAAGGTTGATCCTGAGATTCACAAGTTCCAAGCTTATGTATATACTAGAACGTTAAGATAGTTTCATTACTAAAAGTTTATTTTAAAAAATTGCTTAAACATTTACTTTAGTTCAGAGACCCCCATGGCTATTAAATACCCCCATAGTAATCTCATAGGCAACCCACAGAAATTCATTGGAGCTTTTTATTGCAGACCCCAAACTTTTCATTGCAGACCCAAAAATTTTCATCAGAGACCCCAACCTTCTCATCAGAGTTCCAATAGTAGTTCAATGATGATGTTTTTTTCCCAAACTCTTAAATTGTTTTTTTTTTATGATCTGTTTTTGATTAGTCTAAAGGAAGTTCTGATGAGGACACCTCATCTCTAGTTGACTCTGTTAAATCTATAAACCTAGCAGCAGAGGAACAACCAATACCAGTGGTAAGTTTGGCTAGACACGTTCCTAACCTTTTTTGCAATCGTTCCTGATTTGGGATGTGTTCCTGATTTGGAACGTGTCCCTGATTTGAAACGTGTTGATCATTCTTAACATTAACAATTTCAGACGGGTTTTTTCAACCAATTACTGGTTGTTCCACGTTCATTAATTTAAAGATAGTTCTAATGTTTTTAAGAACTCGTTTTAATGCATTTGTTAATTTTTCGGAACAGCGGCATTAATCTTGTGAATTTTGTTTGTACTCCTTTAATGACATCCAGCCCTTGTGGTAAGCTATTTTAATTTTTACATGGAGTAGGATACTGAATTTATTCTATTATAGTATGCTTAAATTTGAAGCCATAGCCCATTGAACAATTATTTTAAAACTTAAACTTTATCTTTAACCAACATTGGAACATTTACATTTTTTTCCTAGAAATTTTTTAAAATTTCATAAAGCTGTTCACGATTCTAAACATTATCATCAAAAAATGATTAATTTTACATAAGCAATTGAGCTGAGGTTAGTTAATCTTACTTTGATCAATTTTATCATCCATTGTAAGTAATTGATCAAAAATATAAACAACATAAAAATTATTAATCTCTATGAAATGCAAATGCACTTAATTTAATTCAAACTATGAAAAAAAAGTTGTTTAGCTAATCCACCCCCTGTGAGGATAAAACTGCAAGAGATAACAAGAACTTTTTTTTTGTGAAATTCCAAAGTTAGTTTAAACTTTATTTTGTCTGTATTTCACAAACAGAAAATGAAAATTCAAAAAAAAAATATATTTCTGTTGTATACAATTTTCTTAATGTTTACCCTATTCATATTTTATGAAAGGAAAATGATTGACAAGCTCATGTCTGATAACAGGATTTTTTTCTTTCTTAACATTTAANATGTATAGACAAGGAGCGACAAAGGCCCTAAAGAAAAGGTTTGGATGTAGTAAATACAGTACTCTGTAAAGTTTGTCCCTCAAACTGTCCAGGCTAAAACACTCTGTTATCCATGTCAACAAGGATGTAAACCACCTGGCTCTAAATGCCACACAGGGACACAAGCTAAGCTTATCAATTGCTCAGGCTCTAAATGCAACAGAGGGACAGAAGCGTAGCTTATCAATCTGGCTATAATCAGGCTCTAAATGCAACACAGTGACACAATCATAGCTATCAAAAAGCTATTACTCTAGCTCTAAATGTCACATAGGGACACACGCTTAGCTATCAACAAGCTATTGGCTTTCTACAAGCCCCTAATCGATCTCTACCCTAAACAAGGTATGATCTCAACCCTAATACAATACTCTACACTGTAATACTGTAATACTCTAACTGCCAATACTTAAGGTTTAAATGCTACAAGTTAAAGTTTATAGATGTAATTAATATCACATGATTAAGGCAATCATGCTACGTATTACAGCACAGTTGAAATAGGCGCATGCAAAGATGTGCATATTTATTGGATTAGGGAGGATATTTAAAGCAGTCAAGCTAACTCCACACATGTATATAAGTTGAATGTACTTATTTAAAAAGGGTTTAAGCTAACCATGCTACATATTCAACTGAAACACAGTTCAAATGATTAACGAGTTTTTACGTAGAAGTTTACAAACATAGATGATTAATGTACAATGAACTGCAAGTTTACAGAATATCATGTGACCCAATATTTATTACATGGACTCATTTTTGGACAGAATATATAAATAAAGAAATACTTTAAAGATAAGTACTTGAAAGACTGCACTAAACACTAAGCAAACATTTTTACCAGCTCAAAGACACAACTTAGAAGCCACAGTTTTATGTATATTTAGGACTGGGCACATCCAGACTTTTTTTAACCCCTTTGTTAAAATCGTTAGCTAAAATTGTTTAAGAGATTAATTTTTCAAATATCAGCTATTTTTCACTCTTTAAGTATGTTACTTTTCAATAACAGTCTCAATCTTATTGTCAATGTTAAAGGAATATATTTTAAAATTTGTTAACGGCACCAGCCAGATTGCCATTCATTTATTAGTTATCAAAATGTTCCACCATGCCTTATGTAAAATGAGTAAGGGCGAAGGCAGCTCCAAAAGCGATGATAGTTGTTGGGAAAATAGTTCCTAACTATAAACAAGCTTAATGCCAATCATGTCGATCAACAAGTGCTTCGACATAGTATGATACTTATTCACACATGCATTCATGACTAACATAACAGCTACAACAATTTGCGTAGCTTGGCCACTGGCCAGTTATTTTTAAAATTTTATATACAAAATAGCAACTCCTCCACAAGTAAGCAATCTATTGGTGTTGACTAATGTGTCCAAGATTTATCAACTGTTTGAAACCTATCTCATTAAGGTTGAACCAGTTGCCCCTAAGACAGCAGCTAAAAAGAAGTTTGCAAGTAAAATGAGAAGTATCGTCAGCGCAGTTAAGACAGCTCAGCTTCTAGAGGTAATTTAGCTTCAAATATTTAAAATATTTTTTTTTCGGGGGGGGGGGGGATTTAGCTCGAATCTTTTCATGATCAATTCGCAGACTAACATTTTTTTTTGTAGCTGTTGAAAAAAACTTTTGATAGTTAAGTTCCAAACCTTTTATAGATTGAAATATGAATAAATGCTATGGATTATGGAACACTTTTTTACAAATCAATAAAATTCAATTGTTTTGTAAAATCTGGTGCCTGATTACAAGAGATATAGTTGAATCGGAAATATTGAACCATTTCTCTTTAGACTACAAGAGAAGTGGTTTAACTACAGAGCGTCCCATATCATATTAGATTATCTCCAATCTTTAACACCAAAATAGACCCCTTAATACTCGAAAATCTTATCATTTTCCGCAAGAAAATTCTTATATAAGCCTTATGTTATTTTTCAAAATGGTTCATTATAATGAAATTTTCTAATTAGTCCCGAAAATCGTAATTTAGACCCGTTCTCGGTCTTATATGATGTGGGACACCCTGTATGTCTCACTATGATTTATTCAAATCTAGTTCCTCAATGAATTGGTTTTGTTAAAGATTTTACCTTTCTTGTTTAGAAGAGTCGTCACAACACTACAAGTGCAACCTTTGTTCCTAAATACGCTAAGGAGGACATTGTTCGAACTGGGCATATGGAGTATGATACTCTGTATGCTAGCAATGAGCGTGAGGTAGCGTATACGGGGGGAGCGCAATACCAAAACCCAGGGGCAGCTCAATACCAAAACTACAATCTGTTGAGCCAGGTCAGAGATACTCACACAATTCAACTAGAGCAGTCAATTCTAGCAGAAGGGTACTTTATCTGTGTATTTTCTTCTAAACTACTAAACACAGAAGCATGGCTCCGGCAAGAGTTTTGAATTCCGAACAGTTTTTTGCCTGTATAAGGTTTGCGGAAGGTTCTCTCAGTTGGAAAGCATCATTTAGTTTTAGTTAAAAACCAATTGTTACTTTTCTTAATGGCATTCCGAACTAGATAGATATAAACGAGTGATAGTATAAGCCGATGGATTCAGTGAAATATAGCCAATTATAGGGCGGAATTAATCCCAGTACAATACAAGAATACCAATACAAATAAACTCAAGTTTTTGCCGCGCAAAAACTCGGTCCTAGACCTATGATCAAATCGTCGACGTGAATTATCATGGGATATTCATAGGTCACTTGTTTGAAATACACCAAATAATCTTCTTGTGTTCTTTACGGGTTTTTGTTTGCTGGGTATGGGTCTATTTGATCAACCATTAATGTAACCGTTCACTTTTTTGGTTAACTTCAGGGTAAACTAAATGTTCTATCGACTATTCATTGGTATTAGTCTTACTTTATAAAGATATCTATGGCCGGAGAAAAAGCTGATTTATCAGAATTCCAGCACAAAGGTCAGGTACAGTTAAATTGACACTATTTGATGCTTTTGTAGCAGTCATGGATTTTTTAATACGATAATTTTAATTTTTCTTGGGCTGTTGGTACTGAACAAAAAATGTTTATAAAATGGCTATTCAAAGGTTTGTGCTGGAACTCTGAATGATAAATCAGCTATCTTTAAAAAGTAAGACTAATACCAATAAAAAGCTAATAGTGAACAGTACCTTTAAGTGAAAGAATGAAAATATACTTACTTGCTCAGCTTATAGCTACCGCAAAATAAAGAGAAACTCATAGAATATAATTATTTATAGAATTATTCTCATACAACCAGTACCAAATATACAAGGTAGTTAAAATGTAAAATATGAATGAAGTTAGTGTATTATTAACTAAATCTAAGACACAAGTTTTGGGGAAAATTCTTACTTTTTACGTAGTTGAAACTCTCATTACATGCAAGTTATAGGATTAGCAGGCTAATTTCTGCATTGTAAATTGTTTTAAGTTTCTTAGACTTTCTTTAATTTCAAAACAATCTTAAACAAAAGAAATGCTGGAAGTCAGAAAAATGTTTTTGTCCCATATAATCCTATTTTTATTCAGAGTTTTTAGTTTTAATTAGCTTTTAACCAAAGTTTAACATTTATCAATTTTTTATCATTTTTTTGATTTTGCTTTTTGACAATTTTTGTGAAGCTAAATAAACAGGAATAAGTTAAAACATTTTAAGTCAACGACCATCAAAACCTTCTTAATATAAGTTTAATCATGTCAATAAAGACATTTTTTGCTCAATTAATTGAAAAATATCAAAAGTGTTTGCTCTTCCCCCGAATATTTGGTTTAAAATTTGGAAGGAAAGGAACACTCAGTAAACAAGCTCGTAAATTGAAGCTTTAACAATACATTTCTAATATATATATATATATATATATATATATATATATATATACATTGGTATATTGGTATATATACAACTAAACTTATTCTCTTGAGCAAATTAATTATTTTTTTAATTGTGGTTTCATTATAAAAGCGCATTTGTGCTGCATAAACAATAAAGGAAATAATTTGACCTGAAAATGAAGATTTAAGGGTACCGTTGTGAATCGGCTATGACCCTATATATAAAGAGAGGGTCACTCTTAAATACAATAACAATCCCTTTAAGGAGTCAAGGAAAGCTAGTCAAGGAAGATTATCTGGTGTTGATCAAAAAAATATTTTTATTTTTAATTTTTTCCATAATTGTGAAAATCTCTATAATTTTGACGACTATTTTACCATAACAGAAACTTTTTCAAATTACTATATTGGATTTAATTTTTAATCCAATCAGTGTGTGTGCGCGTTGAATGGTTGATTCTAAGAATGCAAAAGTAATGGAAATTTTGATAAGTTATTCATGTCGGTCACGTGGATTTAATGTGTACATACAAATTCTTATTTTTAGGCTATCCACAATGAATTCTTTTAAGGAAATTCAGAATATAAGGATTCAGAAATGACATTTTTTTAAGTAGAAAAACCAGAACCGTACTGGACAAATCATATAGTAAAGAATAGATATTCATGAAAATCAAAGGTAGTGTGAATTAAACATCCAAATTTGAGATTTCTGTCCCACATGACTCACAAGTTCATTACTTTAAAAATTTCAACCTGTAGGCTGTAAAAAGTAATCTCGGTACTGAAAAAAAATATACGAAATTTCACAATACAATTTGATTAATTTACACCCTCTTTGATTTTCTCCTGGACATGATAATTTCTGGTAAAAATTACCCTTCCCATAGAATTGACTGGTCACGTACTTAATCTTTTATTAGCTAGATATAAAGAGGATTCAAGCTCATTTAAACTCAAAACTAAGTACATAGTTAACATGTAATGTTTTCATAGTAATTATTTACATTACAATGTTACTATATTACAAACATATCAAATAAGCCGTCAGGGACTGTCAATGGACAAATAAGTGAAATCCTCCCACCCCCCCAAAAAAAAAATTGAAAGTGTATTGGGTGCTTGAATTCTAGTTCAAACTTTAAAAACTATGTATTCATATTATATGTTCTGAGGAGGTTTGAAAAACTTGAAAAATGTCATTGAAATGGAGAACATTTTTATCTTCAGGTTCAGGGCAAAACTTATTTTTTTCTTTGCTTCACTAGCCAAACCTTCCATATAGTATAGATAGACACTCTTCAAGCAAAAACATTTTTTGTTTTTTGTGTTTTCAAAATCTTTATAATTAAAGTCATTTGTTTCAGCTTTCGAGAGGAAATTTGCAAAAAAATCATTTAAGCTTCTTTTTGTTCTTCAAAAAAAAATTGTAATTTCAGCTATATTAATAACTATCTTAAGCGCCAGGTGTCTTTGTAATTGAATGTCGTTGACCTTAGATATTTCAAACTATTAATACTTATAGATAAAATAATCTAAGTTTGAAATATCAAAGGTTTGCACCATCAGCTTGCAAAGATGTTGGGATCAGAAGATTTGAGTTTGTGGAAAAAACTCAATTCTTTTAAGGAAAAAGCAAAGATATAAAGTTTTTCTTATAAAATTATAAAGATATTCTTAGATTCTTTATTTGATTACGTTGAAAATCTCTTTAACCAAGTTGAAAATTTAGGTACAGTCTCTTTAATTAAAATAATTTTTACCTAATTACTAAAGAAAACATTACATATTGCATGGTGTGAATATATATATATGTAATAATACTGATACTGGCTCGATCAGTTTTTACCAACTCTTTTTGTAAAAATGTCTTCTTCTACATGTTTTTCTTTACATTTTATATCTTAGTTCTGTGTAAAATTTTCTAATTCCTATATCTTTGCAACGTGGAAGTAAAAGTGAAATATTTAAAATTATTTTTAGTAATATCAGAATTCACAGTTTAAAATATCAAAGGTCTACGCCATTAAGTTGCAAAGATATAGGGATTAAAAATCTGTGTTGTGGCAACACAGCTCCTAGAGTCATCAAAACAAAAACAATAATTTAAGAAGTTGAGTTTCGTCACACACTCATATTTGTTAATCCCTGTATCTTTTCAACCTGAGGGTTTAATGCATCCAACTTAAGATTATTTTTTCTTGAATCCATAGTTGAACTTTCAAAGGTTTACGACATTGGGTTACAAAGATATAGGGATTAAAAAAACAGAGTGTGTGGCAACAATTCAGTTTCTTTTTATCAAAAATAAAATGTGTCAACATTTGTCGAAATGATTGCAGGCTGTGATGAAATTCACATTTTACTAAAGAATATCATTGTTTTGATGAACCCCGATGAACATTTAGAAATTATATGGAACATTTAGAAATTTCTAATACATTTGGAATTTACAAACATTTCATTTTTTTTAAATCGAGATTTTAAATTTCCTCTTATCCCTTATCCACCCATAATCCCATCCCATTACCACCCCCTCCCTCCCCCTCCTCTTATTAACACTTACAGTACTATTGATCCCATGATCCCAGCATTCCCTTAATGTAAATCCCGTGACCCTCATTTTTATCCCATCATCACAGCCCCCTCACTTCCCATTTCATTACTCATCCCCTTTCTTCATCCTCAACCTGTCTTCTCTTCTTCCCATTTTATTCCCCTCATTACTCAGAATTCGTAATTTGATTTTTTTTTGGGGGGGGGATTACATTTATTTTTCTTTTTCTTCTCTTTTCCTTCCCTCCCTCTTAAAAAATGAATATAAGGTAAATTTGTTGCAGGCGATCTTTATCTCATTAATATATTTACCAAAGATGTAAAAGGATACATACACATCTGTTGTTAACCTATCTGATGTTAACTTAATCACATAGTTTTACCCAAAATACTTCACAAATATACAATTCCGATTAAAAAAAAAAGTTGGTCGTGCATGATTTTTTTAGCTTTGAACGCACGGAAATATCCTTTTTTTTACCTTTTTAATGTAATTTGCATGAATTGTTGTTAAACCCATTCACATGAAGGAACAAATTCATTTGTTTAATGTTTTAAATCGATTATGAGATTATGTTTGATTTTGAATCGATTATGAGATTATGATTGATTTTAAATCGATTATGAGATTATGATTGATTTTAAATCGATTATGAGATTATGATTGATTTTAAATCGATTATGAGATTATGATTGATTTTAAATCGATTATGAGATCATGATTGATTTTAAATCGATTATGAGATGATGATTGATTTTAAAGGCCAAGAAATATAAGTAGATCCAAGCCCAATTATTAGAACAAGATAACGAATTAGTAAGTAGGAAAATTGAAACTTTGCCACTAAGTCAAATTTGCAAATTAGATATTATAAATTATTAATTAAGTTTTATCAAATAATCTAAGTTTTAAATATGGTTTACACCATCAGGTTGCCAAGATATTGAGAATGGAACATTTCAGTTTGGGGCAAAGGCTTAATTCCTTTTATTTACAACGTTGAATTTAAAATATATCCTTTGACTATGAATTTGCTAAATTGAAATCCGTTTATAAAGTGAAATCCGGTTTTAATATGAAATCCATTTTTAATAACTTTTAAAAGTTTTGTGAGATTAAATATTCAAACAAATCCCCGACAAACAATGCTTAATTGTTCTCGGCAAACACTCTTTTGACTCCCGAGTGCTGACTTTGTCCTTCAAAGATCTGATTTAATTTAAGGTTAGTTGGGCTCTTTATACCTCTACCTGGAGAAAACTATGCTATCTCTCTTCGTCATTGCATTTTTTTCCCAGATACAAGTTGTATTCCCCAGATAAAGTTGCATTTCCCAGATAAAATTTGTTTTCCCAGATAAAAGTTGTATTCCCCAGATAAATGTTGTATTCCCCAATTATAAATTGTATTCCCTAGATAAAAGTTGTATTCCCTAGATAAAAGTTGTATTCCCCAGATAAAAGTTGTATTCCCTAGATAAAAATTGTATTCCCCAGATAAAAGTTGTATTCCCTAGATAAAAGTTGTATTCCCTAGATAAAAGTTGTATTCCCCAGATAAGGTTGTATTCCCAAGATAAAAGTCGATTCCCCAGATAAAAGTTGTATTCCCTAGATAAAAGTTGTATTCCCTAAATAAAAGTTGTATTCCGTAGATAAAAGTTGTATTCCCTAGATAAAAGTTGTATTCCCCAGATAAAAGTTGTATTTCCCAGATAAAAGTTGTATTCCCCAGATAAAAGTTGTATTTCCCAGATAAAAGTTGTATTCCCCAGATAAAAGTTGTATTTCCCGGATAAAAGTTGTATTTGCCAGATAAAAGTTGTATTTCCCAGATAAAAGTTGTATTCTCCAGATAAAAGTTGTATTTCCCAGATAAAAGTTGTATTCTCCAGATAAAAGTTGTATTTGCCAGATAAAAGTTGTATTTCCCAGATAAAAGTTGTATTCTCCAGATAAAAGTTGTATTTCCCAGATAAAAGTTGTATTCTCCAGATAAAAGTTCTATTTCCCAGATAAAAGTTGTATTCTCCAGATAAAAGTTGTATTCCCTAGATAAAAGTTGTATTCCCCGGATAAAAGTTGTATTCCCCAGATAAAAGTTGTATTTCCCAGATGCAATTTCTTTAATTTCTAGAAAGGATTTGTGTTTTTACCACAAACGCAAACCTATTAATCCCGATATCTTTGCAACATAATAGTGTAAACCTTTGATATTTAAAGCTAAGATTATTTGATCTACCAGAACTCATCCTTTGAAATATCAAAGGTCTACGACATTGGGTTCTACCTATAATGGGGTCAGAATTTGTGGCAAAAATTCAGTTCCTTTGGGAAACAATCTGTTCCTCCATGTAAGGATATTAGTTCCTTGTTTAAAGTCTTTATAATGCAGACTGGTGAACTGACGGTCAACTCTATAAATGCTCCGAATGAGTCAACTTTACAGTGCGGATGCGAGAATATAAACTGTCCTTTCTGTAACCTTATGATGAGTATTGGGAGTACAGAACCATCCCTTCTTCAATAAAAATAAGGTAGTATAATAGTTCTGAATCCTCATGATCTATTGAGAGTGCGGAAACATCTCTTCTTCAATAAATAATAAGGTTAATATAGTTCTGTATCCTCATGATATATTGAGAGTGCCGAACTATCTCTTCTTCAATAAATAACAAGGTTAATATAGTTTTGTATCCTCATGATATATTGAGAGTGCAGAGCCATCTCTTCTTCAATAAATAATAAGGTTAATATATTTCTGTAACCTCATGATATATTGAGAGTGCAGAACCACCTCTTCTTCAATAAATAATAAGGTTAATATAGTTCTGTATCCTCATGATATATTGAGAGTGCCGAACTATCTCTTCTTCAATAAATAACAAGGTTAATATAGTTTTGTATCCTCATGATATATTGAGAGTACAGAACCAATAATAAGGTTACACTACCATCTCTTCTGCAATAAATAAAATAATATTGATCAAAATACTTATTCTTGAATTATTGATAAATTTGCTTAAAAAAACAAAATTATAACTCAAAAATTTTCTAATATAGATAAGACAATGTTATTTATTTAATTTCAGGGGTTTCTGGCGACCAAATTGTGAAACTTTCAAACAATATTCCATCACAATTTAACCATTTCAATGCATTTCTAAATGTTTTTTTCAACTTTTTATTAAAGATTAATATTTTCAAGGGTATCCTTTGGAAAAAATCTTGTTAAATGTGTTTGTGCCAAAGAAACTATAATAAGTAAAAATAATAATAATGATGATTTAGCAAATATTTTTAAATATATAAGACACAATGTTAAATTGTTATTTAAAAACTTTTGAACAATAATCCAATTATTTTGTATATATCCATTCTTTAATTTTATCATTTTTTTCCAGATATAATCTATGTATTTGGTGTATATCTACAAAAGTGTTATTTTTTACACTATTCTTCCTGTTCTTTATATCTTTATGGGAGTTCCAATACATATGGAAATCATAACAATCAACTAGGGTTTACACGAAATGATCATATTTTTTGCGCAAAATGTGCGTAATTTTCGCGCAAATACTTTTTTGCGAACTTTTGCGCATCTTTAGAGCATGAAGCGCAATAATACATTACGTAAATTTTTACGCAAAATGTCTTATTGCTAATTGACCAAAATTGAGAGTTTACAGCACAGAATCAAACAATTAAAGGTTTATTAAAATATTTACATACAAATAAGTTATGATTCTGTTGCTTTCAATTGGTTAATTTTAGTTACAACATCTTCAAAGGGACAAAAAATAATAAAACAGAAATTTGAAAATTGAAAAATTGATGCATAGTTTTAATAGATGTATGAATCATTGTGCGGTGTTAAACTTTGGTATTTCAAATGTTGACTTATACTTCTATAAAACGAATGCATATAATTGAAATATCAAAGGTCTATGTCCACTGAGATAAAGAAACACTGAAACTTAGTCATCAATCTTTTATACAGCCTCGACTTTGAAGAGATGGTTTTACCTCGCCAACTGACTGATACTTTTTTTGTAGGCCTAGACATATACATTTTAAAAATGCTACGCGTCTTTTTCTATCTTAAGATTAAAATGGGCAATTGGCAAACTGTTGCTCCACTTTTGAGGTCTTGTACATCTTGATTATCAGTGTGCCATCATGTATCAGGTTGAAAAATAGAGTTTCAGGCAAGTAATCACTTCATTTTTAAGCATTACAATTATATGCATAAAAGTGCAATCTCATAGTTAATTTATACATTTCACACCTTTACTCAACCTTTACTGAGAATTTGCTCCGCTAAAAAGAATAACGCAAAAGTGGAATAGCGCAATTTTGCGCAAAATGAAGTTTGCGATTGATTGGGAAAAGTTTTTTTTTTCGCGCAAAAATGAAGCGCAACGAAAGCACAAATTTGCGCTTTCTTTCGCACAAATTTGCACTCTCTTTCGCAAAAATTTGCACTCTCTTTTGCAAACATTGCGCAAAATTTTGCAAATGAAAACCCTACAATCAACTTAAACACTATTCTTTACAAATAAAAAAAAGTTTGATTTGAAGAGAGAAAGAGAGAAACTTTCAACAAATTTAAACTCTTGATATTTTCAACTTGATGTAGTTTATATAATTAAACTATGAATTCTTTTAGATCAAATATTTTAAATTTAAAATATTACAGATAATAAGACATTCGGTTACAAAGATAAAGACTTGAAAATTAAGATTTTGATTGACTGATCAGTTCCATAGCAGAATTTGTTACTTCAATATTTTAGATTTCAATATACTACAAACTTCGAAATGAATTTAGTCTTTGTCACAAACTCATATTTTCAATATCCTATATCTCTGGAACCCGATGTCGTAGACACTAGATCTGTCAAACTATGAACATTGTAGATTAAATATTCAAAGTTTGAGTAATCAAACGTTTACATTATCAGGTTGCAGGGATAAAGGGATACAGAAACTTATGTTTGTAGCAAAGAATCAATTCTATTCGAAACATGATAATGAGACACTGCAGTATAAATGACCAATTTGTATCATATTTATTCGAAATACTTATTAATATTAGAAAATAACTATGATAATGCTGCGTAAAAAAAACGAGCTTAAATTGATCTCAAAATTCCCATATATATTGAAACTCTCTGTATACATGTAGACATAGTTAAATGTAAAGTCGTGTTTTATTGTTAAAATGTTAAATATTAATGTATAGATCTTCTTTTTGAAATATATATATTTGTTATTTTATATTATATACTCCCTACTTGCACCTTATTTTTATATTTCTATAGATCTAAAAACTTTAGACATGGTGGATATCTCTTTTTGCTAATCTCAAAACTAATTTAGCCCTTAAATTAAATTCTAAAGATTAGAGATGCGCTCTGTAACTTTTCAAAAAGCGGTTTTTAACTTTCTCGGATTTGAGGTGTCATATCAATTGGACTAATGATCGATTGAAAAACGTAAGTTTTGGATTAATGTTTATGAAGACTTCAGTTTTAATCGAGATTTAATCGAGTTTTAATCGAGATATATTCTATAATAAGTTTATAAAAACATGAATAAATTATATTTGTTTAAATGCTCTTAAAGCCGGCTTGTGATTAGATGACTTAAGTTCAATCAATATATCCAATCGACATAGCGTCAAATCAAACGTATCTTTATATACAAGTATATATATATATATTTATAGGAAATGGGATTCAAAATTAAAAGTTTCCTTGGTGGATATTCAGATTAAGCGATCGAGATAAAAACTTTAATGAGATATCCTTAATCCTGATCGTTTAATCTGAATATCCACTTCACACACTTTTGATTTTCTTCTTAATCCTCTTTTTTGGATATCATACTGTATAAAAGTTACGTTTGATAACAATTACAGATACAATGTTATATCGATTGAACCAATATCCGATTGAATCAAAGTCATCTGTTCACCACCCGGCTTTTAGAGCATTTAAGCAAATATAAAATTAATCATGTTAATATGAACTTCTTAAAAAATATATTTTATCACATTTTAGGACTATCATCATTTTAAACGTTAGTCTTAACAAACATTAATCAAAAACTTACACTTTTAATCGATGTTTAGTTCAATCGATATGACACAACTAACACCAGAAAAAAAACAAGTTTTTCAAAAGTTACATAGAATACATCTTAACATGATACGCTGATTGGTAGAATTTTATACTTCTTTCTTGGATATCGAATATGTATTAAAATAATCTCGGGTTTAGTAAAACCAGGAGTTTAAGCATTAATCTTGATATCCATCATTCTAAAGTTTTCAGCTGGATTAAGGCCTTGTATCCAATTCTAATATTTTCAGCTCCGAATCGATCACTAATCACATTTTCTAATTCTTTAATCTAAACAAGTCGCTAGATATTTTGTATATGTCTCTGTCTTTACTTTTTAACATTAACATGGTTAGCATACCAACTGTTGAAAAATAACCCAAACCAGAAGTTTTACATTGGTACCCTTTAAAAATTAGGTTTATATACCATCAAGATTGGAAACTAATTCATAAAAAAATGGATGGAATTTTTGTTCTTGTTTTTTAAGCGGCAATTCGAAAAAAAATTGACCAAATTTGAAAATGATTTAAAATGGCCGACTTTCGCAGCAAAAGTTAAAAGCTAACATTTTTTTTTAAAAAGAGTGCGAAGCGCCCGAACAGCTAGCCTATTATATATATTTGTATTGCCCCCTCTATCACTCTAAGCATTTTATATATATATTATTTTATATTTAGATTGTTTATTTTACAATTTTCCTGTGAACTCTATTTCCCCTATATTCCATTATAAAGCATGAAAGGCCTACTCTATGTACAGGGTGTCCCACATCAAATTAGACCGCGTCAAGGGGACTAAATTACGATTTGGGGGACAAATCAAAAAATTTAACCATACTGAAAATTTTGAAAAATGTTATAAGGCTAATAGAACCTTTTTTTCAGAAAATGCTAGATTTTTCGAGTATTATTTGCGTATTTTGGCGTTAAAGATTGCAGGAGATAATCTTATATGATACATGACGCTCTGTATATAAAGTTGTAATCTCTGTTTTGCTGTTTGTTTGTTTATCCGATCAGAACTCAGGAGCCCCTGGACCGATTAGCCTCAAATTTTGATTGGGGAACTCAGGAGAGCCACGTGAATGTTCTTAGCTTTGTTTTTAGATTCGAACTTGAGTGGGTCGGCTTTTAAAGCGAAAATTTAGTTTTCCAGTAAAAATCGTCTATAATGCGGGTATTTGGCAGGACTAACTATGCCCCTGTGCAATACTGGGTTCCCAAGCTAGTTCTGTACATTTAAACTTATATCTTGTCTACTGTTTACTTTCTACTGTCTACTTTCTACTGTCTACTGTCTACTGTCTACTGTCTACTGTCTACTGTCTACTGTCTACTGTCTACTGTCTACTATCTACTGTCTACTGTCTACTGTCTACTGTCTACTGTCTACTGTCTACTGTCTACTGTCTACTGTCTACTGTCTACTGTCTACTGTCTACTGTATACTGTCTCATGCCTACTGTCTCATGCCTACTGTCTCATGCCCACTGTATACTGTCTACTGTCTACTGTCTACTGTCTACTGTCCACTGTCTACTATCTGCTGTCTGCTTTCTACTGTATACTGTCTGCTGTCTACTGTCTACTGTCTATTGTCTATTGTCTACTGTCTACTGTCTACTGTCTACTGTCTACTGTCTACTGTCTACTGTCTACTGTCTACTGTCTATTAAATTGTTTTTACTGTTTGTCTAACAATATCTACATATTTATGGAGTAAATGGGAGTCATGAATGTTTAGTAGGTATTTTATACAAATCATGAGAAGAGTATTTCAGAAATAATTCAAGAACTTTCTTTTGCAAATCAAGATGTGCAGGCTCTTGACAAAAAATCAAGCAGTTTTTTTGCCAATTACTCGTTTTAAAGTATTATTATAGAAACAAGTGACTGGTATTTTTATAATGTATATGCGTAGGGCTACATAAAAGTATGAGAGAGTTGATGAGAAAAAACGAAAGGCTGTGATAGTCACGATACTATAAAACGAGGCTGTCCAAAAAATTTTATTGACTAAGTTTGAGAGTTGTCTATATCTCAATGAGCTGTGAAGCCCCAGGTTTCTTCACTATTTTTGGGGTCAATAAATTACTCTTTTTTAGAAACACAGAAAAATTGAAATAGTTCTAATTATACTTCAGCCTTTTTGAAAGTTTTTGAGACTTAATATAAAAAATATAGAAAGCTTAAGGCTCTCTTA